TCTTTCCTAATGGTGGCTAATTTTGCCACCATTTAATACAGTGATACCCAACAAGAAAAATAGCTGCTATGCAGGTAAATGCTGGAATTTAAATCTAGTGGACACATTATCAAGGTCCATGGAAGTTTTTAATTTCCAAAATTCTCATTGATTTAACAGATTGCATTAATTTCCTCTCTTTCTCGTTTATGTTTTGTTTTCTGTTCTTCCTTCAGTCTTTCCCAGACACTACTGACATGCAACAGGACAAAGTTAAGACTGTGGCATTTGCCATGACTTTAAGATCTTTGAGAACTGAAAAATATGATGTCTGCAAACTTGACATAATGCCGCTTCAGAATAATGAAGAGTTTTGCCTAGCTATTTTAACAAGTTGTCCTTATTTTTCCAGAAGTCAGTTTCAAATTGTAGGAAATTTTTTGAACGAGCAGAGCAAGAAAGAAGACTGACCCCAATATGAAGAATTTTATTCTTCCAATAGTTCCAAACTGATAATCTTGAGTAATAAGGAGTTGGTGCTGCGATTCTACAACAGTTTAAAGTGAGCAAAGGCAACAGTGCTGAAACCCTTCTTCCTTACGTGTTGGCTTTGGCCTCTGATCTGGGGTGAGCCAGATTAGGGAGCAACTGCTGGGAAACCCATCCCCTCTTTTATTCAGTTTTCTGAACGGGTTGACAGTGGGATAACATAGCTGAGGAAAGGAGCCTGGTGACTCCAACCTAAAATGGCTTAAAAAGTCACACAACCTCACCCGCTGAGCTGCTGATTGCCGAAAGCTGTCTTTGCCCATTAAAAAGTAGCAAGGAGAAAGAGAAGCTCATGGTGCGATAGGTTTGAGGAATTAGAGTAATACAAGGATAGAATAATAGAGCGATGCACACCCTGCTGTCTGTGCCTGGATTTCCTCCTAACGCTTCCTTTATGAAGAACATTGTGTACTGGACTCGTATGGTAAATTTCAGGATAGTAAATTTATATTTAAAACAAGTAGTAAAATAATTTATTACAGGTAACAAACAATAACAGGAGAACACCACAAGCCAGTGTAAATCAAAGAGCACATTTGAAAACTTGTCTATGGGACTGAGATCAGTGAGCAGATGTGGGGGATCAGTTAGCAGTTCCCTAACCCTAAGAAGGGACAGGTGGAGAAAGAACAATGCATGGAAAAGAGCAAGCCTTTGTAAAAACGAGGACTGTGAAAAAAAATTCAAAGCCAGCAGTTTTAAATCTCATTAAGAACAGAAGCAGTCACTGTCTGTCAGCTTAATAGCATGTGAGTAGTGACCTGTGTTGCAGCTTTATCAGTTGGTACCTCTGGTCGCTGTACAGAAGAACTGCAGATTGATGGGGCCACAGATGCTCAAGTCGTCTTTTGTTGCAGGAGTGACTTTGGGAGGACATCTTAGGAACAGTTTGTACTACTGCAACTGTGCTTTATTTCATCTGTGGATTGATGGATTTCAGTCTGTGAAAGAACTAACTGAGCACTTTATCTGCATCTATTTGTTTTAAATGTAAAGAAAAAATAAATTGTAATTGATTGTTTCATATGCAATTATTTCTTAAAGTTAAGTTGAGATTTAAAGGTGTACTTCTGTTATTTACTATGCTACTTTTTTTCTAAATTCTCTATTACATGGGCGAAAAGTAGTAAGTCTTATGTCTTTTGTTTTCAGTTGGGCCCAAAGGACGTGTTATAAGTTATGAAATCAGAGATGATCATCATAATTTAGCCAAGAAGAATTACAGGCACTGGCGTACTGCATGGGAAATAGGACATATGGAAGAGTGGCCAGATAACGTGGATTTCATTCTTAAAGACATTTCAACAGCTGCTGCAGATATGAAATCTGTAACATTTGATGCAGTAAGTCCAAAAAATTGCCCCATGTGACATTTATCTTTTCTGCATAAATTAAAACTTCTAGTGCTCGTGCTCACAATGGGATTCCTATATCTAGTTTAACATGAGAAAAAACGATCAGATCCTCATCAATGAAAGACTGTGATTTTTTGGGGTTTTTTTTTTTTTTTTGTCCGATCACAAGTATTTTCAAGATTTCAGTTATGGCTTCCCAAATGAAAGAGTGATATGGCTGTAGTACAGAAATACTACAATGAATCACTGCTGTCTTGTAAGCAAAGACAAACTTACTTTCTTGTATTTTGGAGAAATGGATATTTGTGTATCTAAGGCTTATATTTCAAACATTACATTTAAGAAAAATACATAAGCTTATTGAAAATATAAATATGTAAACACTTTTGTCATCAGCTACATAGAATGCACAATGTAACTAAGGCCTAAGTTAGAGTAAGGAATGCTCTTGCTTGCTCTCCTGTCCTGTTTTTTATATACGTATTTTTTAAAGGGAGGCATGCTGAAGAAAACAGCAAGATGTTAGCCACTCCTCCATGTAAAGCAGACAGACTGCTTACATTAACGCTTTAAACAAACCACAATTGTGTTAAACAGTTTGAGCAAAGAAATAAAATATACAGCATAAAAATACTATTTTTTAAAACTTTAACACTCTGCAGGAAGGATCGGGTATTGCATATCCCGCTGGTTTACAGTTTGAATAGTTTTCTAGCAGAAGATTGCCAAAGGCAGAAGTTTTCTAAATCTTGAAGCAAACAACAAGTTAAACATTGAGACTGTAGACTGTAGACTGTGATATTTTCATGATAAAGACGCACTTGAAACTTTTTTTTTTTTACATTTGAAAACTAGATATCCAAAGGTGCTAGTAAATGTAGTCTGCCAAAAGTTTTTATTAATGTCAGCATTACAGAATTTCATTAGCAGGACATTTAACATTAACACAGGACTACTGTGTTCATGAAACACTACTTGCTGTTTTAATAGAAATTCATTTGGAAGTAGCAAGGACTTTGTTTTGTAAATGTATGCACCTCAGGTTTCTCTAAGGTTTTGAGTAATTAAACTGGTTTGTGATTACATATTGCTGTTGTATGCATTCATTTTCAACAGATAAACTTTTTTTTTTCAACCAGTGTTGTTATGAAAAAAAAAAAATGTTTTCCCAGTAAATATTAACATATCTGTATGTTTCTCTTGCAGGTAGTTCTGGACATGCTTAACCCTCAGTCTGCTCTGCCTGTTGTACACCCAAGTCTGAAACAGGGTGGTGTGTGCGCTGTGTATTTAGCAAAGTAAGTACTTCTGGCAGTTACACATTTATTCAGGCATCACCTGAAAAAAACAAACATCTTTTAAAATATACATCCAGCATTAATGAAATGTTTAATAACAATTTTTTTTTTTTCCCCATGTAACTTTTTTCAGGGAGTTGCACTCAGTATAAATTATACTTGGCCAAATCCCTTGGCCTTTACTTTGGGAACAGTCTCTTTATGGTCAGTGAAGTTTTCACTTAATGACATCCTCAAATTAACTGTACTGTTTTCCCACTCAGTAGTCAGGTTGCTAGCTCCTTCACCCTCCAGTTGAAGGACTCGTGTAACCTCATGTAACAAAGGCAGGAGAACTAAGACTAACAGTGTGTGATTCGAGTTTTCAAAATACTACTTTATCCTTTGCATTTCTTCAAAAGCATCACACAGGTTATTGACCTTTTAGACAGAATACGGACCTGCAAGTTCCCTCTTTTGTGTGAAAGGATCACTGAGGTGACTCATAGAAATTGGTTGGTACTCCCTGCTAAAATCAAGAATTGCAAATCAAACAAAATGGTGGAAAGTCAAGAAAATATTGAAGAACCACCTCAAAAGGAATATGGAGAAATCCACTTTCAGGATCAACTAGTTCTTAAAGAAAGTGAATACAATGGTAAGAACATTATTGCTGATGAAATACCCTGTTACTGCAATTTGATAATCCAAGGATATAACGAAGGCAAAGTTTGTAGGAAGAGGCAGTATTTTTTTCTTAGGTCAGCTGAGATTGTTGTGAAGAACAGACAAGCTTCTAGGCAGCCTAGACCTTGTCAGGTTTGAAAAAAAGATATTGTTATTTAAATATCTTATTGCAATTTATTTTCTTTTTTAGTCTAGGTTTTTAATCTGCAAATAAAGAATGACTGCCCTTCTACTGTTTTCAAACTTTTATTTTTAATAAAATTCAGTCCTCTATACTTGGTCCTCTAAAGCAGCAACAGGACCTGATGGGCTTAAGAATTCCACAGAAGACACATTACCAGTGTGCTCTGTTTCATAATCCTGCTGTTCTGGCTAATCCAAAAAAAGATGCCTCATGCTAGTAGAGATTTGCAAAATCCATAGTAAAGCAAAGAGCTCTGAAGGTACTGATAGGTGACAACAGAGCACTTTAGCAGAAGCAAAAAGAAAATTAAAATACATCAAGGAAAAATAATCCATGTGCGTTGGCAACTCTAGTCTGCATGTGTCTGTTAAACTTTTTTAAAAGAATTAAAAAAAACTTACTTCTCACAGAATCACTTTCCGATGACACTGAAACATACTACTCGGTGCCTTACGTTGCTAGACCATCTTACTGGCAGGATGCTCATTCAGGTGAGACACTTGGAAAGTGTTTTTTATCTTAAATGTTTAGGGGTATTTTATTTTTGAAAATAATATTTTTTGTACTAGCATTTGACATGTTGCTATATCATGAAATCACAAAACTTTTAATAATAAACTAATCATTGTATATTGAAATACTGAAGTAGTAACTTGTTCTGTTTTTTAATTAGCATTCCTTACCAAGCTGAGAAAGTTTCAACCACTGCTTTCTTGATGCTGCTGAGATGTTAGCTGCTAATTTGAGTATTGTATCAGAAGAAAATAAAATGTTACACAGTAACTGCTACATTTTGCAAGTTGTGTGACTTTTCAGTAATGACTGCTTTGATTGCTACTGCATATAAAGTTTGAAATCCCACCTACTATTTAAAGGGAAAAGTTTTAACAATCTTCAGGGGTGGTGGTATGATGCAGCACAGATTCTTCCGCAGAGCATAGTATCTGTTTCGGTCTCATTGGGTGTATTTCATTCTTCATTGCTTGTAAACCAATCCATGGATTTGTCTTGGTTCAAGGTGCTACCTTGTCTCCTTTTGCAGGATAGGCTCTGACAGTCTACCAGAAATAAGGAGAAAAACAAAATTTAGTAAGAAAATAATGGCTGAAAGTCTGCCCTTTGAAATGCAAGTGAAGCAGCTTCTGACTTCACTGCTACCAACTGGTGGCTATCAGTTTTGTTAAGAACAATGTTCTGAAAGCACAACGGTAAAAGAAACTGAAATTTATTGAATTTGTTCTCTTGATAAAGCTGTGCTTCTGTGTTGTAGCCACCTGACTTCTGTATGTCAAGGAAGATTCAAACACCAAATTTTTCAAAGTTGAGGGATCCCTTGGGAATACAATTGTACTGAAGCTGTCAAAAGCACAATCCTTCTATACTAGTGAAAAATGCAGATATGGGTGAGAACATATGCAAGTTTAATACAGGGTTACAGTTCTTTATAGCTGTATTTTTTAAAGAGTATATAAGAACTCTGCAGTGGCTAAGTACATGAAAGTATCTTTGCAGATCTGAGGCCTTGTACAACTCTCCCAGGAAGTCTCAGGTGTGTTCCACTCAAATTAAACAATGACTGTTTGCCCCATAACTGCTGTATGTTACAGAGGCTTCTCATACAAAGGCTCAGGACACTCCTTTGAGTAGATTAACGTGCAATTACATAAAGCCATTTTCACAATAAACTCTTGCACTGTTTTTGACATATATGCCAATCTTAAAAATAAATCTTGTATAAATTCTGTCAGCGACTGAGATGCACTTAAAGGAAAATGTGAATTGTGATTTAATGTATATCCAAACTGATGACAGCAACTGAGCAGCCTGCCCTCTAAAAACAGTGCTCTCAGCAAGAGCACTTTAACTCACGTGACACACACTGGTATTTTTACTGTTTCTTCTAGCCAATCAGAAGTGTTTAAAATAAGATTCTCAATGTAATTTATAATGCAAGAATAGTAATAAATTCCTAAATAGACTGGAACACAACCCAAAATGTACCATAGTACGTGAAGGTAACTTGAAGATACTCAGAATATAAAGCAATTCCAGGAAGTCAAGAGACAAGATGTGAAATGAAACTATGGCAGTAAAAGCACAGTTCTGCCAAGGCAACTGCATTTGTAATAGGGATGTCTGCTCACACAGAGAGATTGTGTCATCTTGTACCAAGGACACAGTAGTCCCTACAGTCGTCTGAAAGGTACATATGGCCTCAGCTGCCTAAACTAATTGAAAATGATTTGCAATATTAAACCATACCTTGGGCATAATAAATAGGAGAGTCAACAAGCATTTTTTCAGTTGGAAAGGTGTCCTTCAAATTCTGAGATGGATGTGGTTCCATCATCTCCAAAGTGCCCACAGATGAGGAGGAAGAAGATGATAATCCTAGTCGTACAAATCTTCCCTTCTTACCACAAAGCAAGCAGTCTGTAGGAGTAGCACTAGGTCCTCGGGGCAGCTGTACATCATCATCATTGTTGTACTTTCTCACAGCTCCACAGTGGTACTTAGAACGTTCTCGCTGCCATACATAATGTGTTGGAGCAATAGCCATCACCTATGGGAACAGCTGTTACATCAGAAACCATAACAATTAACAGGAAGACATACAGCTGAAAACAAGGGATCCAATTCACATATGGTAGAGAACTAACACTACAGAGCTGAAATGGGTATCATCTGTTATCTATCTGCTTCTGTCTCACTGGAAGGTTTGCCACCTTAGGTACGATGTGGAAACAATTTACAGCCTTGTATATTCATGTGAATCATCACAAATAGTTTATGCTTTGATGATGTCTTTTGCTAACTACTAAACATAAACTAGATGGATCTTCTGGTTCACAACGTCACTGAACTGATGACTGTTGGAAGCTGGGAGGGTATGCTGGGAAAAGCATTCTGCACTCCCTTGTTCTTCCTGCTTTTCCCATCAGCATCCAATCCTGTTGCCAAAGATGGGATTCTAGAGTAAGTGAGATTTTCTTTTCCACCAGCTGTAGTAAACATTATGTTCTTAGAAAGTGACAGGACTTTTCCAGGAAGATACATTCCACCTGAGAGGTGAAGAATACCTTTTTCCCCTCCTAAGATGTTTGAAAAATGTAGATTCTAACACTGCATTAATAGTAGAGAATGTTAAAAGTACGTCCTTCTGAGTTTTTTTTTTTAATGAAGTGAAAAACCCTTACCTTAAAAAGTCAATTGAAGTTTTATTATTTTGAAGGGCTTCAAATTTCACCTGAGGTGCTGGAATTTTTATTTGAAGGTTTTGCTTGTGTACAAACTTAACAATTTATAAACACACACAAAATTATTTCTGAAGTGAATGAATTTAAACTGATGGTAAATTTCAAATAAAAAAATTTGCATTAAGCAGAAAGATTCTAGTCAATAAAAACTTCCCTTTTAACAGTAGTACAATGTAAAATATTCTAATTTACCTTAAAAGAATGTACCTTTCAAAGAATGTATTTTAAATGCAGAAGAAAAAAAAAATCATGGGGGATAAATGGACCATTACATTTTAGCTGCATCTTTTCTTTCCCATGGCTTGTCTATGCACTTTAGGTAAGAAATTATTTGTATAGAGGTAGATTGTTAGCTGGTATTATTTGTTGTAGTTTCCACATCTACCATATGAAAACCCTCCCTACCTCTTCACAGCAGCGTCTGCTTACAATAGCCCTGTAGCCAATTCTAGTCCAGAGGTGATCTCTTAACTTTAAGAAATCAGGGAAGAGCTTTCTCCAGGCTTTTCCCAAAGCCCATGGGAAAATGTCGTACTTCGATTCTTCATCATCTTCTTCAACTGTATTTGCCAGATACCTTCAAACATATATATGTTTGTGTTTGTGAATGTTATTCAATCTTAAATCACTGTATTAATATGATTTCTAACATTAAAAGACTTAATATTAAAAGTAGTTATTTTTCCTAATACCGTGAGAAAAACTGCTAACAAAATACAGCCTTCTCCCAACAGTATAGTATTTTCTTAATCAGCAAGTTCCGTGTGTATCCTTTGGGTAAATAAAAACTTAAGCTGTTATAAAAATTGCTTTACCCTAACATCTCCTAAGTGAGTATATACGCAAGAACTAACGTATCCCGACAGCCTTCTCCAAACTGGCAAGATATCCTGACAGTAAAACAAAAAGTTTCTGACTGATTCTTTAAGTAAAGCTTAAAACTATCTTACAAAATTATAAACTTTGTATTTTCTATGTTACGGATTTTAGCTATTTTTGGGAAATTATGTTGCTCACACTAAATTAGCAGCAAACAACTAAATACAGGTCTACCTTCAGGTATAAATGAAAACTTTAAATGATGGGGTTTATGTCCATATTTCTCCCTTCCTTCACTATGTGCTACTTCTGTTTCTGGGTCATCTTAGACAACAGGAAAAAATATTTACTTCCTCTGGATCCACCTGATAACTAAACTCCTGTAAATCATACCTGAAAAAATTACGACTTTTAAGTCTCCCCCTGCAATTTTCTGACTTGCTCCTAACCCCAATATACCCTCTAGTCCCAGTCTCACCAGCCCCTTTGTCCCTTTCTAATCCTCCCGCTCTTCTGGCCTGGCTTTTCTCCCTTTGATGTGGAGTCAGACAGCTTCTTCCTCCCTGCTGGGTGGATGCTACCCAGAATACCATTTACAGGAGAAGAAACAGCCATCTTTCTCCCCGCACCAGTGTGCAAATCAGAGCAGCTGAGAAGCGCTATTACAGAAAAAAATTACATGAGCACCGTAACATGATGAAAGAAAATGCTGAATCACTCTGTAAGGTATAGCCAAATACAGAGACATCATATAGGCTTGGTAAAGACAGATTCCTGATTGCACCTCTGTTTCAAAGCATAGACATTTTAGAACTGTTCAAAAAAGTTCTCCAAAATTCTCTAGCAATGTTTTTACAGTTGACTTAAATCATGTTGACAGAAACTGTAATAAAAAGTTACTCCCGAGGTGCATATCATGTACATTTCAGTACAAATGCCTTAAAGGCTGGCAAAGATAAAAAATAAGGTCTTATAACAGGAAGTGTGAGCTACATATATGTTGCTATGTATTGTCCTGCATATGTTTCTTGAAATGCTTCAAAAGGTTAACAGATTTACAGTTTGGTGGGCAGAATGCAACGCTATGTATCACAACGCCAATGCAAACGTCCTCTCACTGCTGCTCAAGCTTGTTCCACACAGGTGGCCGTCAGAGGAAGAATGTTGAATTTGCGCTAAATATATATAGTATGTGGATTATGTTTCTGTACTTCATATAGAAGCCAAACAACTACAGACTCGTTAAAGAGGCATCATATATTGTAATTATCAGTGGCATAAACAAAGGAATAAAATAATGCAAAGTTTATGCTAATAAAACTAGATAATTTAAAAGTACTTACAGAGCAACAAAGAAATTGATTCTGGTATGGTCATTTATTGTGAAGTTAGCCCTCTTGAAATAAACGAAAGTCATTGCCAAGAGATACTGTTTTAAAATGTAAAATGAAGGATCAATATATTATTTGAGTATATAATTTCCTAAAATGTTTTGCACATTTATCTTGCACGAAGATATTTTGATAATTTTTATCAATGAGGAAAGCATAAATTGAGTTTCTTGAAGCTTCCATATGAACACATTTGAAAAAAAATTGTGGTCTGTATTTGCACTACCGTATCAAGTGATTAAGGGCAGATTTTTCACTCAATATGTGTTCTATTAACTAAGAAGGAAATACACTTACCTTGTCTGCAATTTTACAGCAACAGTCCATCCAAAGGAAGTCTTGGATTAGATCATCATCTGCAACAAAAGTTGTAGCATTTCAAACGCCAGAATTGTTTTTGTTAGAAGGTATTTGTAAATAAATACCAGATGGTCCTTTCATTAAACCAAATAAAAGGAAAGAAGCTAGACCCACTAGTGGAGAACAGAGAAACTGAGGGGAGGAAGAGATTAGGTATAGAGAAACTTAAGCAACGAAAGAAGACAAACTACTAGAAAGGCAAGGTGGAAAATCTAGTGACTGCATTTCATTCATTCTCAGTAATAGCAAGTGAAGGTGAAAAACCACCAGTGTTTTTTCTATTTATGTAACTTCTTCCTGGGTTAAGTGGTTCCATCTAATAGCATACAGTTACTTCTGATGAACTATAGACTGTTGAGATCTCTGCACCTTGATTACCTGACAACCTTCATAAGGCAATACTTGCTTGATTATTTGTGGTCAGTGCATGACTGTCTACAAACATGTACTATAATAGGACTACCACAAACTCTCTCTGGCAGAATACTTTGTATTCAAGGTTCAAATAAAAAACAAGTGTAATCTTCCACTATTACTTAATCTCTTCACTAAATTAAATAAATACAAAACTTCATATGAAAGAGACACAAATGCAAAAGAAATGCTACAACTCCTCCAGATTTTCTTCCCATTCCACTTCTCCCCCTAAATGTTTATTCCCACAATAAATAACATGTTTCTAAGACTGGGGGTCCAGCCTCTTTTAAGCCTTGTGTAAAACAAGACATACATTGTTTTACATGTATTTGATGGAACATAAAATGGAAAGGAAAGAGAAATTATTGTAAAAGGAAGTATCATACCACCTTGGTTTCATTTGTAAATTAAAAAGATACTTTTCAGCAGTTCGGTAGCCCTTCCTGTATTTGTAAATTAAGCATTAAATATTTATACACTAAAATACTACAACAAAATACATTTAGACAAAGACATGGCCATTAATACCTAAATAGAAAGCACTCCAAAAATTACTGAGTTTAGAAAACATATTGCTTAATAATTTTCTACGGTTCAGTCAATACATTGATACCTGTCACTATTAACCTACCAAATAATTTAAAGAAAGCTGTCATTTCCTGACGCTGAATAACTAGACATGGTCCCTTTGGACATTTATATTTATGACTAGGAACCTTTTTTTCACAATTTTCTTCATGGTCTTTAAAAGTAGGCCGCTTTAGTCTAATAAGGTTTTTTTGCTGATGTGATCTGGATGCACTTGATTTTACATGAACAGTGACAGTGGGAGGTGTCTGACACACCAGATTGTGTCTCATTTTGGTAAGCAAAGGTTCCTGTTAAGAAAGAAGAATAAATTAACTACATAAATAGTCCATTTGAGCAGTGCTTCTCTATATTTCTTTTGTTCAAATGAAGCATTTCAGTAGAGCTTGTATGTCAGGTGATAAAAAACTAATTGTATCAAGACTAATTATCTAAGCCAACTACATAGATTAATTTAGTTCTAATTTGATAAAGCTCTTTTTCAGTGGAAAGAGCCTTCAATCTTTTTCCAAAGTTTTGAAAAACAGAAAAAAAACCTTTGCAGAAAAAGTTGCCGTTTGTCAGATCCTCATTGCTCAACAATTAGATCTACCAAAAAATCTCTGGCGTTCCTCACCGCCAATTCGTGATTGTGTATTTTTAAAAGAACATTAATGGAATTAATGCAACAGAACCATAATTAAGCCATATAACATTAAAGTCTTGAATTCTTAATTTTTGTAACATTTGGTTATAGCCACTGGGAATGAAAGTTAGCCCTCAAGTAGGACATACCCTGAAGGTATAATCAAGGGAACAAACCTGAGATGTTCGTAACTGCAAAAATCAAGAAGATACCAAATGGAGTGTGAGGAAAGGTATTTTTAGACAGGAGCAAACGCATTTACTTCTTCAGCAGGTCCCTCCACAGAGCATAGGGCTGTCTGAGGCCGGCTCACAGCAGCCTACCTAGCTCTCCATCTTATGTTAGCTGCTACATACGCAACAAAGAAGCCCCTCACGTGTGGATGTGATTACACCATTCTGGTTCCCAGCAAGTAACCTCGGAGCCCGGGACAACCCCTCGCCCGATCCGGCCCCGCTCCCTCAGCAGCCTTCCCCTCACGCCAT